AGTCCTTGACTAGTGTAAGCACTACTTAGCAACAACTGAAACATCGGTGCGTTATCAACTTTGTTCTCATCCTAAATCCAAAACACAGCACTGTACCAGCTACTAGGAAGGAAATTAACTCTATCCCTGCCGAAACCAGGACACTAACATAGTTTATTTTTCTCTTACTTAAACCGGCTACTGCTTAAGAAAACAGTCCCTTTTTATGCTCTTGAATCTCCTGGAGTGACTGAGTTGAGATAAAGGATCTAACAATTAAATAACATTGATTGAAAGTTAGCAATGAAATAGATGGAAAAGGCCCAGCGTTCAAATCCAATACCCTTCATCAAGAAGGTGAGCTTGGGAAGGTCTTCCATAGTCCTTCATGAAGCTTTGATTATGGGTATAAAGTCACATGTGTAGTTCTGTGGTCAGAAATTGTCCTTCGTTCCTTTTAATTTAATAGCTTCTGAGATAATGTTATCTGCACTGTGTATTACCACTTCATGTGGTAATTCAAATATGAGCAGCTGGATATACTAACATACATGCATATGTAAGAGATCTGTGTAGTAATTCCTATAGGTTCTAAACCAGAATTAATTTTAATTTAAAACACATATAGTTTATTTTGTTTATGCAAAAGTAGACATCCGCTGCTCATAACACATAAATGCTGAGGACTGATCTCTGATCGCAGTTACATGAGCAGTACTGAGGAGTATCTTCCTTCTCATCCACATGTGCTTACTCTGAAATAACACTGGTATGACTGAGATCAGACCGTGGTTTTGAATGTGTAGTAATCCCATCTCTTTTACCTGTATGCAAAATAAAATCAAAGGAAAGACCTTAAAATCACTGACAACACGAGCGCTACAGCTAGGCTGCTGAGTCAGCTTCAGAAGTCCTCTAAATAGAAAGTGCCCTAATTTTCAGAGGCACTGATCAAGTGGCTCCCTTAGGCTGCAGTAGGTTTATAATGCACCAATAGAAATGAATTTTTAGAAACTTAAGTATGGATTTAGAAGCCTAACCTAGGTATCCAGTTTTTTGTATTTTTGGCTTGTGACTTGCATTTGTTGTCTGTAGGGGTATCAAGTAATCCTTCAAAGAAGAATCAAAGGTTTCAGGCAGAAAAATCCAGTTTCATATAGTGAATTCTCTTCTTTTACTTGTACATTGTCTTTTAGGTTATCATTATTCAGCCTCAAGTCCAAACCCAGACAGAAAGTAAAGTGGAGACAAAGAAACCTCCTGAAGAGTCAGCTCAGGGACCCCCTGCTACCAAAAAGAAAAAGGAGGAAAATCCAGAGGTGATCTTTTTTTCTTTTTTTTTTTTTTTAATAAGTGAGCTACAGTATGCTTAAGTTATGGGGGCCAATTCTAAACATTCTTCTGCGTCCATATGTAGTTACTGCATTTGTGCTCATGGTTCTGCCAGCTGTTCATCTCTCTACCCGATCACTGCAATCGGGGTGATTTCCTCGCCAGTGAGGTGCTCTGACAAATCTGGTTTGCATCATTCGAACTTTCCAGTGTCACAAAATGTAAGAATTGTAGGTCTCATAATCATCTAGGCACCTTGCGTGGGTATTAGTATTTCTTGTGAAAGGTGTATACAAGCTTAAGATATTTTCTTTTATGTTATCAAATACATAACATTGGGTTTACAGGCTGCCTATGAGGTTGAATTAACATTTCCTTTGTAAGCTGAGCTTTTACATCTTCTTTGTAATGAATCTTGCAATTTTTAGATTGTATTTAACAATACAGTTTCTTGCATTTGCTGTGTACATGTCTTCGCACATGTGCACAGATTCTTTCTAGTCTGAAATACATTAAAATCCTTCAAATTGAGTAGGAGAGTAGAAAGGTTATAAGATTAAATCTCTTTCATGAACTATATTTGCAATGTAAACTAAAAATATAAATCAGAAGTCCTTGTAGAAATGGGGTCTCTCTTTAACAAGCGTTTTGGTTTTTGACTAGGCATATTCACATTGGATTGTGTGTACTTTTGAGGTGATTTGAGAAGTTATACAAATGGAATCTACTTCTGTTGTGGAAATGCTCAGCTCGTGAAGTCTTAACCTTACTAGTCTAATAAATGTGTAACATGAAAGCATCCTTGGAGCTGTAGGTTTAAGAGGATTATTGCAATATAAATTTATAATGTTACTTGAGGCATGTGGGTGGTCATTTGTTTTACCATTTTAAAAGGTTCCTATAGTTAAAACAGTGTTAAGGATAAATAGTGGCTTTTAGCCTAGAATATCACAGCTTTATGCAGAAGCTCTGCAGAACTACACTTAGGAAACCTCCCAAGTTTAAAATCTGACCCTCATATGAATTTTCATTGCCACTGAATGATGGGACTGTAGGGTCCTGTTTTGTTTAGGGAGGTATTTCCGAAAGATTATTTATTGTGTAGTACTTCATGGGCAGAAAGGCTAGTAGATCTTGCTTAAAAACAGAATGCTAGAAGAAACATCCATTTTTCTTTGCCTGTAGCTTATCCCCACGGAAAGAATATTGAGCAAAAATCTTCCAGAGAAATGCAGGAAGAGACCATGGGACTGGGCACATTTTTTGGTATAGCATTCATAAATTTAATGTGATTTTCATTAAATTGCCAACTAGAATATTCTGACTACCTTTTTTGTAACCAAGAATATTGTTCCTACCGTGTATACTGGAGGTCTCGGCAAGCACAATTTTCTGGGTAGGATGCTGAAGCTATGCCCTTAAGTATGACGGTTCTTTTCTTTTCATAGATTTGTTTCATGGCCATAAATATGTAGGTTTAGAGTTAATTTCTTTTGTTCTTTGAAAGTAAACTTTAGATGATTATCATGTATTTATGCAATTAGTGTAATTAGAACTAACAGCATAATTAGTGTAAATACATGTAATGACATAAATAGAACATGTAATTACAAAATGAAACGGTTTTGTAAAAATTTTTGTTTTGCTTCATGAAAAGACATACTGCGCATTTCTAAAAGCATTCATGGCTTTTAAACAGGTGATTAAATTTAAAAGGCAAAGAGTAACAAAGAAAACGTGATTTTTTTAAAAAGAAAAAAAGCACTCTAGGCACGTCTCTCCACACCTTTATTTATCTTCAAAGCACAAAACTGAGGCAGGAACTCCAATACGGCTCTACATAAACGTTAGTCGTGACAGACTGGGATTTCACAAATTAAACTGAAAATTTAAAACGAATAAACCAGAAATCACCAGACTTACCAGTAGCCAGGAACCCCACATGCAGTTACTGATCGTACCTGAACGAACAGAAAAGACTGAGGATAATTACTGTCTTTTGTTCCTGGCTGGGTCATTCTGCTGGGAAGCCGTGAAGCCGATCCTGGACACAGCCCCCTGCAATACATATGCCTTTTGCATAACCCGAAGATCTCTCCGTTCCCAAGTACGCCATCATTAGACTAAAGCAAACCTCCCTGCGTCCGCTGTCTTGCAGCCAGGATGCCTGGACGCCTGGCTGTGGAGCGGCTTTCCCAGAAGCAGGATGGAGGGTCTCGGCCACCCAGGGTGTCCCAGGTCCAGTGGTCAGAGCCCTCTCCTGGGATATGAGCCATGAGGGTTCAGTCCCCTCCGGGGCTGAGGAGGGTCTGGAGGAGTGGGCCACCCGCTCCCTGCTGTCTGCGGGGCTCTGCTGGGGATGGAGGCCAATAACTGCCCGTCTAATGATGGGCCTTCTCCCACCCACCAGAATGACTTCTGCAAAGAAATGAAGGGATTACGCAAGGGAGCTGCTCCTCTGGGGAGCAAGTGCCATGGGGTTTGGGGTGGGGTTTTTTGTTTTGTTTTCTTCTTAAAAGGACCTGACTTCAGCACAGAAAGAAACAGAATTCCGCCCAAAACTTTTTGCCTTTTTAAAATTTTAGATTAGTAAAATTTCATATTTCTGGCAACGTTTTCCAGGACATTCTAGCAGTTTTTTATTTGAAACAAAAATTACTGCCGTAAATGCTGGTTATTTAGCTAACAGTGTCTTTAATCCCGCCTAAGAAGGACAAGAGAGACACATTGCAATTGTGAACCGAATGCTAGTGTTAGGCCTGGATTGAAAATCTGGAGAAACTGAAGCCTCAGTTTTGTGGATTCCTGCACGGAGGAGAAACAATATACTCTGCGGTATTTGAAAGAAAAGCATTGCAGTGGAAGTAGTATTTTGAGTTGAATCCAACAAGCTACATGAGTGTGAAATAGCAAAACCCATAAAACCAAATATGCTGTTAATATAATATGCTTGTTAAAAAGAATACAGCTTCTTCTGGGATTTTTTAAAAAGAAACCATCTTTCAAATATCTATGAAAGCTAACCCTTCCTGTGTTTAATAGTGAGATAATTATCAAGTCCATTTATGAAGGCTCTTCATATGTTAAGCAAGTACACTGTCATTGCATTTAATTAGATATGTATTCAAATAATTTTAGTATGAAGAGAGGAAATTGTTTAGCGAGCATTCCAGTACTCAAATAATTTTAGTTTAGATGTCAGAAAATGTATGCTCCCCCTACAGTTTAATCTTTGGGTAATACAGGCATTCTGCGCTCCATTGGGAAAATACAATCGCACGTTAACCGTTCCAGCTTTCTGATTCTATACCTAAATGTTGTTATTACCTCTGCTCAGAGCGCCGAGACGTATCCTGCCACAAAGTTGCTTTTTGGTGGGGGTGAGATGAAGCTTGTAATTCTACTCAATTGACTAATTTTCTTCTCAGATCTGCACAGTGGATCTCGGATCAAATATTCATCTTTCCCTTCAGGTTTGGAGCCCCCACTGTGTCTAGCTGGTGTTTTAGACATGTAAGGAGTGAATATTATTGAAATCAAGGTCTGACATGCAAATGAACACGTGCTTGTCATTACCACAGTTATGGAAGGCAGAAACATAGCATGAATATATCTAAATTGCCAGTGTTGAGGTTTGACATGTCCATTTTTTAATGTACAGAGAGAATTACGTACTAGGAGATAGTGGAAAGAAAATGTTCCTGTCCTGTGATGTTGTTAGTTCACCTGTTTGACAGAGATATTTTCACATATGTAAGAGGGATATAGGTGTCCAGTCCTGACCCTCAGGTTTTGAAGAACCCACCCCACAGACAGATCTTTTCATCTACAAAATGAGGATGTGCTTGCTTTCCCAATTTCACTGTGTGAAAGTCAGAATTGCAAAGGAAATGGTAATTCTGGTGACTGACTAGTTGATTTTATCCTGAACTGAAATGAAAAGTTTTTTCACAAAATTTCACAATGAAAAGGCTTTTCACGAAACAAGAAGGTCAAACTAATTTTGACTTGGAAGTGTTGAAACGTGTTCTCCTGACACATCTTTGATTGAAACAGAATGTTTTGACCTTCTACCACTTAAACACTGTATTTTAGCTTGACCTAAATCTACACATTTTATTTTGGATGAGTATGATAATTGCATCTTCCTATGGTCTTTGGATGCTTTATCAGAGTTGGATTGTGGGCTTTGCTCGCTTGGATTTCCTAATAGCTTGGATTTCGTAGTCAGGTTGTCTCTTCTGTGGAATTGCACCTCGTGAAAATGCCACTTGGGTAACGTTGCACCTCGTGAAAATGCCACTTGGGTAACAGGATCCAACAAGATTGTTCAGCACAGCAGAAAGAGGAAGAGATCCCTGAGGCCCCAAAGTATCACAGATGTAACTCAAAACCAAGGAGTTCCATTCAGTTTGGGCTTGGAACAACACAGCAGAATTTCATTTTTCCATCAGAAAGATGGAATAAAAGCTTCAGCAAAACTTCTTCCGCAAGGGAAAATTTCCCGATGAAAAATCACTGACAGAAAATTTAGAATCTGCTCTAGTACTTGCCCTATTACTGCATCAGCGTGTTTTGAAGATTTGTTAGTATGAAGATGTGTTTTGTGCATATGTAGTGTACAAGAGTTCTGAGTAATATTTTAGATCAGATTCCTCACTGCAAAATGAGTTTGTCGGTGGGAGATGTTTGTTCACTCCCCATTGAGGGAAAATACTGGTTCAGTGTACTTTTTCGTAATTCATGCACGATATTCTTTCTGTAACTTGGGAAGAGAAATTTCTGAAAGTTTTTTTGGGGGGAGGGGACTTTCAATATGCTTCGGATGTCTTGTTTAGTGTTGTAAAGTTCAGTGGAAGTGTATCATATCTTGTTTTACTTCATACAGCTTGCTCACATCCAATAAAAGCAGTGCCATGTCCAGTTAGTAATAATAATACGCAATTACTTCTCTAAAGAGTGGAGTAACAAAGCAGCTAGTAATATGAAATTGAATTGATTGGATTGACTGAATTTTGATCATGCGCTGTATAAAATCAGTAGTCATACAACACTGGCTTCATAAGTCTCTGAACTGCTAAAGTCATACAAGTGGGACGTGACTGACCAGGCGTATCTGAAGCATATCTTCAGTTAAAGTTCGTCATATTACTATGCATTCAAATAAGACACCTTTCTAAAAGACCTTTACCAGGTTTATTCTGTCAATGCTAGATTTATTTCTTTACTTACTTCTACCATGATTGTTGTAGTAGAAAATCTAACCCCTGTTTATTTTTTCCTTAGAAAATTGCCTTCATGGTAGCATTAGGACTGGTTACAACAGAACATTTGGAAGGTAAGATGAGATGTGTTGTTTTACAGTTCAGTTTTTGAGTGAAATCTTTTCTCTTGGCTCTGCAGCCAAGAGGAATTGGTGATTCTGTCCTCTGAAGGGCAATGAAAAATCAGATGAAATGTTATCTATGCACAGTTGTGCTTTTCAACCTCAAAATAATGGGTGACCTTACTTTGCTCTGCCTCCCACCCCACTGCACAGCTCAAGGGGCATGAGAACTGGCTCTGCAGCCAGCACCAGCAGGCTTGGCATAAGCTGGCATTTGGGCTCACTGAGTCATCATGGTCCTTTAAAGGACATTAACAACTGGAGGACGATAATGAAGCAAAAAGCCTGCAAAAGCTCTGACCACCACTGATCTGGTTGAAGAATCAGCGAGGTTCAAAGATGTTTACCCAGATCTTCTGTAGCAAGCATGCCCTCTCCTCTTTCCCCATGTGAGACGGACTTTCTTTTTTTGCATGAATCATCTGTCATCTCTAGAGTTTCACAGAATAATGTGTAAAATAGTGGTGAAAATCTGGCATTTGCTTTATAAGATTTTAAGCAAATTAGAAAATTACCTCTGGCAAAGACTTCCTTCCCTCCATTTCCCCCCATTTAGCCAAAAAATAAATAAACTTCCAGTCTGATCCTGCTTTTGTGTGAGAGCTGCTAGCATGCCTTCCTAGGCTTCTGAGTATGAGTTCAAACAAATATTGCACGTAAACTAAATGCAGTATCGCATAGTGTTCAGTTTACTTTTCCAACCTTCCAAAAATACCTTGCAAGAGTTAGCAGATTTGAACCTTTCTTTGCCTCAGCTTTGTCTTTCTGAAAACATAGATGAGTTTGTTCAGCAAATTTGCCAGTGGTGTGAGATGAGTTGGGGGTTTCTTGGCAGAATGGGTTAGTTCTCGTGGACAGAGAAGATACAGCTATTTTTAAGAAAAAGTCTACAGCTTGATGTGTTTTACTTGCATGCTCAGCTAATAGAAGTTGGTGTGGTTACACCGGTATAAGGAGAAAAATCTGGTACCTGTGTCAGCCGACAATGATTCTTGATCACAAAAAATGTTAATGATAATTGACATTTACCACCCATCCCATAGACCATCGTCAGCAAAATACTTAGGAATTTCCAGTGCACTGAGTTTAAGTTCTATGTGCTTTAGAGTTAGGCACATGCTTAGACACCTTGCTGACTCAAGAGGTATCTACCATTTTACAGCTTGATTTCTTTTTAGTGAGATTCCCTGTTCTTCTGTTCCTTGGTTTTAAAAGAGGTTGTGAATTAGGGAGAAAATAGCATCTTAATTGTAAGGTCTCCTCAATATATGCAGCAGGTTTTCTGTGGGTCTTATTGCCTTTTTTCAGTGTCTTTCCTCTTTAAATCTGCATTTCAGAAAATCATTTAATGTCCCAGTGACTGAGAATTTGAAAGCAGTTTAAAGAAACTTTAAGCCATCGGCCTTTTTAATCCCTTAATGGTAATGGATTGAAATGGAAATTAAAAAGCTACAGCAATTTTGGGAGAAGATTTATAATCCAAAAAGTGCAAATGATGACTGGTTCTTGTTTTCTTTGTCTAAGGAAAACAGGACAACATTTGAAATTATGCTGAAGTGCAAATTATGCTTACAACAGAGCAAACTTAAATTTGAATAATTCTTTACCCTTTGATTTTATTGGAACTAATAAATTGTTTGTGTGGATTTAACGCTTATGTTCAAAACGCCAAGTACCGCTCTGCTCTGTTTGTTCTACAGTAAGTGCGGAGACGCACATTTTGAACCAAACTGCTACAATACTAATCCTGCAGAATCAATTCTTTCAGACAAATTCACTTTTTATATTCCTACTAGCTTTAAATAAATGGCTCCCACCAAGAGCTATTTACTATGGAAGGGGTATTTCTTCATGAATATTGGTGATTACAACTGTCAAAAATACCCGTATAGCTTTCACATGCTAAAGGTTATTATTTTAGTGCTATGTCATATTTACGGTTATCAGCCATTGCTATTTATCAGGAAGCAGTGGTCATTACACAGTTCAGTTTATTTTAGTACTTCTAATGTATTTCTCAATTTCACATTTTTGGAATTAAACTGTATCAAGATTGGGTCATTAAAAGCTTATTCACTCAGTATCATTAATTCACAGTGTTACCGCTTTTCTTCATTTTATTCATTAATTTTGGGGTGAAGGGCTATGGATCCACTTCTCTATGGATTTCTCTATCAGCCTAGCAGCCTTTCCACCTAACGTCCAGAGGAGCATCTTTCCCCTTACTGGGAAAAGAGCTCTGTTCTGCAGAGCCCGAGTGTGAAGCGTCTTTTGAGGCCTTTACCAGTAAATGAACACAGCCGCTTCCACTGACTGACATTCTGCAAGGTGCGGCTTTCCCTGAAGATAAATTGTCATTACAGGCTTCATAGAATGACCATACAGAGTGTTTATTGATGAAAGCAGCAGCTTGTTGAAGCTTTGCCTCCAACATAAAGCTATCTTCAAATTTGTTCATCTCTGTCAAATGTATTACAGTTTAGAGGGTTTTTTTCTGTTTGGGTTATATTTTTTAAATTAATAAACTAAGGAATAAGATAGCCCAATTCTGTGATGCAGTGCATGGTTGTAACATATTAAATCTCTTTCTCTAGGCTATTAGAACACCTTTTAGCATTACCATTGTGTAAAAAAAAAAAAAGTAGATAGAAAGCAAAACTTTAAAAGAATTCTTTAGTTCGGGTCATTCTAAAAATGCGCATCTTGTTTTGCCATTTCAGAGTTTAAAAACTCTGAAATATTTCCATCTAGGTGACTGGAATGTTTTAATCAGTTAAAACAAATTATTTATTTTTACTTTATTAAGCCCTGTTTTGAAACGTACACAATACTTTTTAGCAGAAGCAACAACAAAAGGTAGTATACCAGCATATGCTTTTGTTCTATCTTGGTGTGATTATTGACAGATACACTCTTTAATGTACATACTCCTTATGTCACAAGCATGGGTATTTTTTGTTCACAGTTTCCATAAATAAAGTGCTGACATTGTGCTCTCCCTCCCTGATGGCTGCGTAGGGTGGAGTACATCTAGAGCTGTTTCAGTTCATTACTCTCTCTCTCTCTCTTTTTATTTCCATCTATTCCCACTGCTATTACTTTTCCCCCCAGCCAGCTTTTATATCTGTACCATAGCAATGCCTCTTCCAAAGCTGCATTCCAGGTATCTACCACATGTGTGATTCAGACTCCATCAAATATTTCTGTTGCCTTGGTGAGAGCATGTACCGAACAAATTCTCTCTTAAACCTGGGACCTAAAAGGGCAGAGAGCTACAGATCCATCACAGTCCTCTTGCGAAGACACTCGGCCCAGTTTTGGACACAGAAAGCTCTGCTGTGTCGAATTCTTTGTTTCTTTTTCTGTGCCAGTGAAAAGTCACGATCTTGTATCCCTGTGACCACTTCTGAAAGAGTAAGCCTGGGCTGCCCTAACTCCAGCTTTTTACTACGCTGCCACAAGGGTGCCGAGATGCTGCAAGCCCTGGATTCACTGACCACGTAGTGCGGGTTACTGAGCCTGGCTGCAAGAACCACGGCTCCAGCTCACACTGTTGAGACCAAAGTAAAGAGTCAGTGGAGGGCCACTTCCTCCATTTCTTTGCCAGCATCAAGGCACGTGGTTCCTCTGTTGTGACATCTCTGTCACCTTTTGGCCTTGAGAGCGCTTCCCTTAACAAGAACTGATGCTGACATCAAGAACAACCAACTCTCTTCCGGTGGCTCTGTGGCAGGCTACTGGATCCGCGTCTAGCACTTACCCTGCTGCTGAGGCCCAATTCCCTTTAGAGGATGCCAAAGGGTCTGGAAGCTTCAGGATGGAGATTTCAGCGTAGCCAGACGAGCGTTTCATAGGAAGTACTTTCACACTGGGACAGAACTGTTACCCATACAAGATCCTCCGGTTTGGAGTCTGCGTAGCAGCGAGGATGTTAACAACATGCTGGCAGTGGTTGCAGCCATGGCGTTTATCGCACGTCTCGGTGCAGCCTCGGATCACACGTTTCTTGGTAGTGAGATTCTGTATAGCTCCCTGAGTCACATGGCAGCATATGTCTAGCTCATGTCAGACTGTGAATGCAGACCTGCCTGTACTCTTTGAATTGCCCTAGGAGAAGACACCCTCTGAGCGTGAGAGGTGTCATGTTCCTGTGCCAGTGGGAAAACCCAGCCAGAATATGCAAGTAGTTGCTCTTCTGTTTTTCTTGTCTATCCAGTTTCCTTCCGATACATCCATCACCCCAAGAGTGGCGGCTTAGCCGATAGTCTTTTGTGAATGAAAAGTTTCAAATCAGTATCTTGGAACTCGGGCCAGTACAAAATCCGTGCAAAGTGTTGGCCTCGTCTCTAGGCACATCGTGTCCAAGACATGACTGACAATACTAATACCATTTACTGTAGCAATGCTTAAAGTGGTACGTGGCCCCTTTTACTCTGTGGGGAAGTGATCAACATCTGGAAAGGGTGCCTGGAAACCAGAACTATGTCCTGGGAAGCCAATTCCCATGTATTGTAAACATCCTGAATGCCGGACTGTACCTTACTGTTGGATTGCAAGTGGGAGATAGTGCTCGATATCCTGAAGGTGATTTTCTGGTGCTGAGGGTGCTCTGAGATAGACCTCTTTAGCTCAGACATTGATGAAAGATGCCAGACCTTCTGCAGAACCAGATGGTGTCCTGAGTTTCTGTTGGGTGTACTCCTGGTCCTCTGGGCTGAAGAGCTAGTGCTCCTGCCAGTTCCTCTTGTTCTGAGAGATTTACTTAGAGCAAGGCAGAATGGAGGTATCACCATCGTGGGGGCATTTTGACTAACAAGATTCCTCTGGCACCTCAGTGCAGAGTCTAAACTTTGCCTTAAAATATTCATGTAGGAAACATTTTGGAACAGAGCATCAGCCCAGCTGTGCACACTTCATGCCATGGGATGGATGCTGGGTGGTTCTCCTTGCTAAAGTATGTCTGCTCTTACTTTATTATCAAAATAAAAAGTAGGCTCTAAAGTACATGGTTGTAATAATCTCACCATTCTGAACTGACGTCAAGAGCTGGAAAAAGAAATTCCATATGACAGAAATGAAATCCCAGCTCAGATAAAAGTAGCATTAAACCTGCAGATTTCAGTGGTTGAGGAATCCGCTCACTCTTTCTGCGTGTGTTTATGGAAGTACGCACATGGCTAATTGTTGCTAAATGCAAGTCCTCAGCAAGCACCATCTTGAATAGGTGTTAGCATTTAGTGGAAGGGAGTTCTCTTGTGTTTCACCCTTTTCCGAACAGGACTGCAATTTGATAAGCCTATCTTTGCGCTGCTGTTTCCAGTGACACAAGTACATGTATGGCTCATAACAACATTTTGCATGCTCAGCATTGTGAAGTTGTATATTTTTGGATGGATAAATTATCACGCCCTAGTTAGAACTGAATCTAGCCATGCCATTCTGACCATGCTTTTTCTAACTTCCGCAGAGGAAAAGTAATGTAAATTAAATTTAAAAGGATCTCTATGCTTTCATCTGATACGAATTGCAAGGCTTAACTGCTTTAAATGCTTCATTTTTGTTCATAGCAGGCATGGATAGTATTTTGAAAGCTCTCTGTTGATGCTTGCTGAATATGTGTCTGAAGGGATCATAATAAAAATCTTGTAGGGCAGCAGAAGTCCACCTTGTAGGAAGGAAAAAATAAAAATTGCCTGTGTTCTGAATCTTACGAGGAAAAGCTTATTAATGTCAAACCTTGAACTGCAGCAAATATCAATGCTGATGCAACCCAATTATACTTTAGAAACTGAAACTGAACACAAAGCCCAAGGGGTTGAGGGTAAGAGCATCTTGCTTAACAAGTTAGATCCACATTTTTCCCTGATGAATGAGAAATGCACAATTCATGTTTCTTTCTATGGTTACAGAAATCCAGAGCAAGCGTCAGGAAAGAAAGAGAAGAAGCACAGCAAATCCAGCCTACAGTGGACTCTTGGAAACAGAGGTACTTTATCATTCACTTTTTTTACCACAGTTCTATTTTGTGTCAATAAAAGGTTTAAGTGCTTCTTATTACAAAAGTATCTATGAATGCAGAACCACACATTTACTTGTAAAGAGATATTGATGTGGAAAAGAAAAGATCTCATCTCAGTAGCTAAGCAACAGGTTTTCACCCCACAATATCACTTGCTTCAAACTAGAATTCGCCTTAGTTTTAATAAAGGCCAAAAGGACGAAATTAATGTGGGACCTAATTACTCTCTCACCCACGCAGACAGTCCCTTTAGGTCAGAACTGAAGAACAGCAGTGCTGCATTATGTTCAAACTTGCATTGCTATTTCTCTTTTCCTATGTGCCAAATAATAAATGGAGAACTTTGCTTTTTTTATTAGTGACATTCATAAAAGGGATGCGTTGGTTTAAGAATCAGTGTGCTCTGCAGGGGGTATGGAAGCCTGCATAATAAATACAATAATGCATAATTAAAAATAAAATGCTCTGGATAATCTCTGTTTGTCTGTTACACTTATGCTGTTACATTTATAGTAGTAGCAAAATTTGGTCCTACATAATATTGGATTGCAAACCTGGTGTAAAAGCAGCGTATAAATAGACTTAACTTTTTCTGAGATTGTTTGTTACTTTGTTTCTGAACTGACATATGCATTTATTCGGCTTATTAAAATTCCACCTTAAAAATTTCACCACAGTTTGGGGTTACTATTTGAACTTCCTACAGGAATGAAACTGATTTGCAGCCAGCTCTCCATTTAAGCAAGATTTCTCTGTGTTCTGAGTTCTTTAAGCCTAAAGGAAGTGATTTTTCTTTATTTAGGTACAAGCGATGCAGAATTTTTGGTATGCCAATATTTCAGATTTCTGTGTTTGTTGGCAGACAGCAGACAGATGAGGCTAAGAAGAAACCCATCACTGTAGTCAAGCTGCTTAGTGGCTTGATTGTTCTTTTTTTGAAAGTACTGGAGATTTTTATACTCCAGAGCAGCTCTGGGCACTTGAATTCTTCAGAACTCCTCAACTTTTCTCCAGCGACCTCTTCAGAGCAAATACTGATGTCCATACGTCCAATATTTAACACAGTAGGAACCTTAGCCTTGCTAGCATTAAATTTGTAGTGTCTTCTCTTAGACCTTTTTATCCTGATGAGTTTATTAAAATACTTGCAGCAGAGTTTTGTGGCTGTAGTCTGATCGGTGTTCGTGAGAAACTCAATTATCTTCGAGTAGGGATGGAGGAGGTGATGGTGGAGGTCTGCTGCACCCCTAGTTCATACTTCTCATTATATCTATTCTCAAAAGCATATCCTGAAGTGAAAGATGGCATGGAGAAAGAAATGTCTGTGAAAGAGTCCTGTGGCTGATCAGCTGTGTCCTCATTAGGAGTTGTCATTAAGTGCTGACCATGGGGAATGCCTTTCAAGTAAAATGGAGGCAGATGGTTTTTCTCTGATCAATTAGCTGCTCAGATTGATTTGCTAATCAGTGAGTTGAGGTATTTTGTGGCATTTCAGGCATTTTGGTGCAGTTTAATTTACGGTTAGTCTACTGAATGATCTTTAATTCATGATTGTTTAAATTGAAATTGCATATAAATTAGACTTTTCATTTGCCAACGCCCCTCAAAACGGCAGGAGCTCAGCATCTGTAGTGGTGATGCTAACTTCCTTGATTACAAAAATGTGATCACGGTTTTATGTCTTCACTTGAATGTTGTGCTTTTGCTTTTCAAAGCTTTTTTCTTTAAAAAAAATTGAGATACCATTCTGTTTTCCCACCAAGTAACTGGGTAAAAGTATCCGCTTCTTTTTTCTTTTTTTTTTTTTTTTTTTTTTAGGAAAGGGTTAAGTTTCAGGCTGGGTATTTTTTGAAGGAAGAAACATCTATTCAAAATTCATTAACAGACTGGCAGGCACCCGTGTATAAAAGAACAGTTTACTCACCACAGAATAAATCATTTATTAGCAAAACCCCTCTAATTTTCCTCCAAGCAGAGCCTAACAACATCTAATGGAGGAAAATGGTACTGTTTCCAGTCCTGCTGTACAAGTATTGGACGGCTCAGAGAAACAATTAGGGGTTCTATAGACTGCTAATGAAGCCCGGCTTGCTATTGACCAACAGCTTTTACCATCTGACAAGTCGGCGATGGGCTGCATTAAATTAGTTAAACATCTCAGTCAGGTTTCCAATGGTCTGTTTGCAAGTTTGAAAATCTTTGGCGACCTCAGAAGATTGAAATCACTGCCAGCTCCTAGAGGTCGTACACATTAACTTCTGAACGAGAAATATTTTGCTTAGGCCCTAATACATTGCTTGCAAATGAAGTATGTTCCTATGAACTGTAGGCAAGCGTCACAGAAGGTAGGGATGTTTTCCTGCAGGTGGGAAGTCCATCACCATTTCTGTATACGCAAATAAAGACGTCATCTCACAGCAACAATTTACTATGCAGATTTTCCATTATGGACATGGTTTATCTGCTAGGTTTGGAGTTACTGTTGCTGTTACCTTGCTCTTACTGACCTCTGGAACATCTCCTGAAACTCAGTCAATAACATTTGCAATTTGCGTTTCTCTCTTGTTAATAAAATCTAATGCACATCTAACTGCTCTGTGAAGAACTTGTTAGAAAGGTAAATAATACAGCTGTTTGTATGACTGTCTCAGGGGTTAGCAACGAATATTCTAAGTCACAGAACTGGCTTCTGGATGGCTGGTTATGTATGAGGGAAACTCATGGAGGTTGTTAATATGAAATGGTAAGAGACAACCAGAGCACTTTTCAATGACACTGTGGTTGCATTCTTTTCCCTTGTAGCGGAAACGCCTTGCATCAAATTATTTGAATAACCCCTTGTTCCTTTCAACAAGAGGTAAGCATATTTTAAAATGAATATACTACCATTCTAATGACATGTTAAATATTTATTAGTACGATTTCATATGAATTACTGCTAGGGTACCATAGGGCATTACTTTGTGTAAGTTCCCTGCACTTTTTAGTGTGCAGTGAAAACAGATGGTTTTCCTGCAAAACCAATTGAAGGATAAGGCTAAAGGTCAAAACTGTGTAGAAGCGGATCCAAAGTCTCTGCAATCAGTGGAAAATCCAATCTCTAGTATCGTAAGCACCATGCAGTGAGAGGACTGATTGAAGAAGGCAGTGTTGCCAACCTCAAGTGCTTAAAAATATATATTGAAAAATTGGGATTTAAAAAATAATTACTATTCTGGGCTTTTCATTTGCCTCTTTTCATCAGCTTTAAGAAACTGCTGTTCATCCTCAAGGGCTACAACTTTACCATACCTTTTGCTTTAAAAACAATGGCTGAAAACCACACGATTTTTCTGACTCCAGGAGCTGGAGCCATAAATCTAGATTTGATGGCCTTGAAGATGCCTTCCAATCTTGTATTTATAAGAACTTCAAATGCTGAAAATTTCATGGTAAAAGCCTCGAGAATGAACAACTCAGAGGAGCCATTTGGGGATGATGATGATTAGCTCGTGTGAAGAAGCCCATTCCAGGAAAAACATGCAACATATAAAGAAGGCAAAGAGTTGGGAGGTGGGAGATGAAACAAGGAGAACACTGAGTACAGTTTAATTCTTCAGACGAGGCCCATATAGGATTTTAAGAGAGAAAGCAAGAAGCTTGAGTTGCATTTCAGGAGAGGAGAGAAAGCCAGTAAGGAAATGTGATTATGTCCCTGCCCTCGTGTTTCCTTTATAACTTAGGCTCTACTGTGGTGCGTTAGAGGTAAGGGAAGACAGGCCTTTCTCTACGCCAAATATTATTTCAGTATTAGGAGCATTTACAGGGGTAATTTCAATTAAGACATGAAGTTTTGGCTGTTTTTCAGTGTTTGCTTGATATCCCTGTCAAGTGTCATGTTTAGTGCTTGAGATTCACCTTTCTGGCCCTGCCTTGAATTCCTGCGCCACAGGATCACCAACTGGAATGCAGTGGTGCTTCTCTCTACCTTCAAAACTTCATGTGCTAGATGCAGACAATTGGCCTACTTACCATATGCCTCTAATGCATAGGGTCTCAGAGGACATGAGAGGTTATTACACAGTAAACAGCTATGATGACATGCCTCTTAGCAGGAGCCCATGCTCATGTGAGCCCCAGTGGAAAGAACATTATTCCTGGCTTAGTTTTATCTTCAAAATTAAAATTGTAATTTATTATTTGTCTTATCATAGCACTTGTTTTTCCCATGTAAACACATGGGAAAAACAGGAGAGAATGGCAATGTTAGCAAGCCGCGCTGTTAGCCCCTCAGTGGATTTTGTTTAAGTGCAGGTTTGATATCTCTGCCCTTCTTTCCGCCACGTGTTTCCCATTTTATTTGCAAGGAAGTAGGCAGGTGACAGAGTTTCAGTAACGCGGCTGTCTCGGAACCGCTTGGAAATCAGCAGTCTCTCTCCTTAATTGTTAATTACTCTTTGAGTCCTGTATCTTTGGTTTTTCCAGCATCCAGAATCTGTGCTGGGATTCTGCATATTCTGTCAATTTTAATCTGGACTTCTTCATAGCAGAACTCCCCACCTCTGTAGGGGTTTATTAGCTACGTGCGCCAGGTGCCATTGGGCTAGATGCTGTGCAAGCTCTGAACTGAAGGCGGACGCTGTCCCAGACAGCTTGGCACTGCAGTGATGTAGTTGTCCACCTTCAGTGCAGAGCTGACGGCCCCTTCTCCTATAAAATGCTTGTTTAAAAAAATTGTCTTCAGTTTAATTTTTCAGCAACTAGAAGGCAGAAGTAGACGTATTTTAAAATGTTTAAAACTTTTACTGTAAAGTGAGCTGCAAAGAGAAATAAACAAACTAAAAAAATCCCTATGAAGTACAGGAAATAACTGTCATTTCCAGAAATGCAGAAGAGAACAATTCTTGTAAATTTTCAGCAAAATGTCAATTAATCAGGATTCATTTATCTGAAAATGTCTTACCTGAAATGAGGTCACATCCCCTGACATGTATCATTTGTAGAAAAGACTCTTCAATTATCAAGCCCCTGTTTATCTGAATAACATTTATATCCCCTGAGTAATCACAGTGTCATATCGCGGTAGATCTCTGTGTGTGTGTATTTGTGTATATGAAGTGACATCTACAGATTTTACAAGTCTGTGGTTATTTATGGAACTCATTGCCAAGGGATGCTACAATTGTTGGAAAAAGTAGGCAAATTTATGGAAGAAAAATCTATCTAAGGATGTTAAATATAAAAATGAAGATGTGAACTCCAGGTTAGGGAAGCCCATAAACTGCTAGCATCTGGAAGGATAATTCTGGAGTAGAAAAATTTGCTCTGTGCTTGCCCTGTTCTTGCACTCTGTGCATGAATGGCAGCGCGGGGTGCTGCTAGCAAAGGACCCCGGGCTTTATAGCCTTTGGTCTAACTTAGGTGAAGCTGTTCCTTCATTCCTATTCTCCTCTTCTTACATGTGTGTGTGGTGCAAATGTGTCTGCATCTTCACATGTATGCGTACATCAGTGTATAAAACGAATGTGTAACAGCAGGAAGCAACTCCCAGGTTGGTCTGTGTATGAGAGATCACACTGTGGCAGCTATATTCCCGTTTGTGATCAGAGGGGGAGCTGAAGAAGGACAGAAATATCAGTTTGTTTGTCTCCACTTTAGTCCAAAGAAAGGCCTCTCCATCAGCTGTTTGTCACTCAGACAGTGTGCACCAGCCCCTTACAAATCAGCAGCAAAAATTGCAACGCACTGTGTGGTTTCCATAAAGCTGTTAAAATTTTCTGGCTTTTTATTTTTGGACCAAAGCGTGATGAATTTCACAAATACTTTTATGAACGGCTTGGCCTGCTTTCCAGTGAGCTCTGGTGGTGCTTGTTCTTGCCAGGCTGTGAATGCCATCACTACAGACTCGGTTCATCAGAAGGTCAGAAAATCTTGGCGGTTTAGGTGGGAGTAGTTTGATGATAAAGAATTGATGATAACATAAAGCTCAGTTGCACAAGTAGCTGACCATTTTGGCCATGAATCAGCTGAACATTTAAACGTGTTTAACGGTAAGTCAGTGGCACCGCTTTCATACTCCAAGTTAAGCACCTGCTTAAGTGCCTTGCTGGTTCATGGCCAGACTGTTCATCATCCAGCAGGCTGAAGTCCTTAAGAAAGACTTTTGGACTAGTGACGTACAGAGAGGAGGTCCTCATGAAAATTTTTGAAAATTTGAAATGGAGTCTGTGCTTCTCATACTATGACTTTTTAGCATCAGATCTTCAGACAGAGGATTCCTACAATGTACATTTTTAAATCTCACATGCTAATTCCACTGCTTGCTGTTGCATTCTTTCCTGCCCACATTAATTTTGTCAATGTCCTGATCTCCTGTGTCACAGCTTGACTAAAATTACTCCCATAGCTGAGAACTAGCATTCATTGCGGCAATGTATTTCCCACTAATCTGTTCTCTGCCCTTCTTTCATATGCTAGCAAATGAGGATCCATTCTGGAAGGTATGTGTAGCAAAATTTGTGTATTACCAGTGTCTTTCTCATCACCGTGTAATTCAGTGCTTGCTTCTGGTTATTGTAGTCTCTATCAAGGTACAAAATTGCAGTATGCTCTTCGCCTTTCATACTGCTTGTGTGAAACATTTCCCACTTAACTAAATCTTTGAGCCTCTAAGTTAGAATTTCAGAGAGATGAACTCTTGGGCTTTCATACGCAGGGCTTGAGTTTAATCCCTTTGTAGAATCCACTGATTGAGAAATTGCTAGTCCGGATTTGTGGTTTTAACCAAAATTTTAAGAAAAATGAGTAACCATTCTAGTTTGTATAGATTAGATCTCTTCTGGTTTTAATGAAAATTTTTAGAAAAATGAGTAACCAGTCTAGTTTGTATAGATTGGATCTCTTCACACTGAGGTTAAAATTAAGACTTTTTGAGCAGGTAATTTCTAAAGAGTAATATTTTTGAGAGCGATTTTTTGACAGGACTGAGTTAGAATTCAAGATACAAGCCTGACTAAAACTATCATGAAACATTATAATTAATATCCCTAAAAATGAAAATATGCTTTTGGAATTAACAAAGGTACAAAATTATTATTCTCCTTCGTGGAAAAGCACTAGGAAAATTTAGGGGTTTTATAATGATTCACAAGCCATGAGAGTTTCAAAATCAGTATCTCCTTTATTAAAATGCACTTAATTATACAAAGAGTAATTAACGTTGCCACCAGATTAGCATAGCAATTTACTACATGACATTGTAACTTTGTTGATGAGTCTTAGTTCATTTTATATATTGCTACAGACAAAGTACTAATCAGTCTTGTTGGAGAGAGGTTGTCAGAGCAAGTCTGAACAGAGAACAATTAGTGCTAGGGAGAATAGAGGGACAGAGGAGCCCTCTAGAGGAGTTCACAAAAGAGGGTACGTAGCAAAAGGTTGTACTCAAGCGTACTGTTTTCCTAGCTGCTCTTTGAGGCAATGGGCATAAAACATGGAACTGTGCTTTTTCCTCAGAAACTTTTCCTTGCTTGCTTCCTTCTGCTTTGGACTTGAAGGACAAGTGATCCACATGTTGACTTTGACCCATGCTTCAGAATAGAGCTGCGCATGGTGATACATGTGTTGGAGTGACACATTATCAAAAACAAGTGAAATAATTCCTACATCACAAGCTGGCTATATTAGTCGACTCCCTCCTGTGTTTGATTAGTTGGGTTTTATTTTTCTATCTGTTTCAATTTATGGAACTTGCTTCTGGCTCTTTTGTTTGTTAGTTTGTATTTGTTGCTCTCATACATCATTATTTCTGTCTTCTCCTACAGCGGCCAGGGTCCTTTTGACAGTTAGATTTTGCGTTTGAATGAGCCTGTCTGCTGCAATAGAGGATTCGAATGCTGTATAGAGAGGCGTTCTCAATGGATTGACTTTACCCAAGCCATCCTCCTTCTTCTCTTGCAGAATGAGATCCACCACGATGAATACTGCACTGCTTGCAAGCGTGGCGTTAACTTGCAGCCCTGTGGCACGTGTCCCAGAGCATATCACCTCAACTGCTTGGACCCACCCCTCAAAACTGCCCCCAAGGGGGTTTGGGTCTGTCCAAAGTGCCAACAGAAGGTAAGCTACCTGGACCATAGCACGCCAAGAAAAGAAAAGAAAATAGGAGAAACCTCGAATTTGTGTACCACTAAACTAATGTAACCTATGGTCACAGCTTAGGGGACTACATTAGCTAAAGTAATACTGAGAGGCTTTTAGTACAGTTTGCAGCATTTGTTTCTGGTATTTTCATCGTCCTGGAGTTAGAACATACACTGAGTGCCTTAGCTTCCCTGTAATCGCATCTGCTGAGATTTGTACTTTTAAAATGTCTCTTCATTTCCTTTGTTTCCCTTCTTTACAATAAAGCCACCAGCACGTAGGGTTGCCAGACAAGTAATGTAAATCTTACAGATGAGGGCGACAGTGTCAGAAGGAGACACTGTTCACCAGTGGATCTGAAAGCTGTGAGGAGAACACTTCCTTTTCTTTAAATCATGTTTATTACACACAGCTATTGATCATAGTCATGTCAGAAATGCTAATTTGTCTAGTTGCTGTGTATAATGCTGATTGCATGAACAGGAAAACAATTACTAAAACAGTACAGTGTCACTAAATTGTAGAGTGGAGGCTTAGATTTTGTGCCTTAGAGTTCTTCGTGTTTCGCATTGAGATCACTGTTACGTTCCTTTGAAAATGTCAAGGGGAAATTCTAGCACGTAGTTGCAGAGAGCAGAGCAGCCCAGGATTAGATCTGCGTAGTCATGTTTTCATATGGACCAGCAACTTCTCCCACGCTGAGAAGACAACACTCCTGACAGTGTGGAGGTCTGCTTGTCGGGCTGAAAAATGTCTTCCAGCCATGGCAACAAGAACCAGAGAATTTGTAACCCCCTTTTAGCACTGTTTGGCAGTGCTGTTTACAGTCATGTGTAAAGGAGTAAGCCCCAATGGAGATTGCTACTCAAATTATTGTCTTGTTACTTTTCAGCTTGCGAATTCTGAGACAAGGACCCTAGATCTGGTCCTGCAGAGCTGTGAGGCTGGAGGAAGAAAAACATTAATGTCTGTCTTGGTGGAGTCCTAACTTTTTATTGTTTCCTGGGCTTATAGGTGTTAAAGAAAGATGACAATGTGCCATGGACTGGAACTCTGGCTATTGTTCACTCCTATGTTACTCATAAAACAGGTAGGAATTAACACAGCTAATGACAAGGGATTCTCTGCTCATGACGGGCAATGCCATTTGAGTCCTTTATGGCACTAATATTAAAGTGGTGTTGTAATGCCACCAGGTATCATGACATTGTTAAGCAAAGGGCCATAAGGGCCTGTGGCTGCGAACAGCAGGTCACTTTCTCTCCCCTTCCCCTCTGTCTGTTACTTCACGATCTTCTCTCTTTAAGGAAGCTGAGATTGATCTCTCAGGAACTTTAGTCTGTGGAGGTGGCTATCATCAAAGTGGTGCCTTCCTGAAAACAGGGCTGAAAATGGGATTTTGAGGCAGAATCATATCAGGCTGGGAGGCAGAGAGAAACAGTCAGGCTAGGCAGAGCCATGTAATTGGGTATGTAGAACGATGCCAGACAGATGCCAGTCTCAGATACTACAGTAATATCAGCTCCTAATTGTTTCGATGTTATTTGATATCACAGTCATTAGCATCAGATGTCATATGATATCTGTGCATTGACCGTTACTCTTTTTCAGTTCCCTGTTGCACTCTTAGAATGGGCTGTTTGGGGCATTAGATCGTATTTGTAAGGAGCTTTGCAGAGGTCTGGTACTGTTATGATTGTGCTTTTCAGAAGGTTGCTGAACTATTGCCATTCCAGGTGGCTGACCTGTCCTTAAATACCAGTCACCTCTTTCTTGGAGACCTTCAGGACCACGTGTGGTCCAAGGATTAATTTTAATTCATCTCAAAGGTGCACTACAGCTTTTGGGTTGTCCTGTGTTCTAGCTGTTGACGTAGACGCATGCATGCAAGCAGAAACTCCAGATTTATTTGGCTGTACCTGCTGAAAAAAGGCTAATGAGACCTGAAACTCACCATTCAAAATACGTTTCTGCTTTCTGTTGTCAAGCGCACAGTTTTGCTGTATGTCCTTTGCTTAACTTCTGCATCCTTAATCTTATTGTTCTGCAGTCAAAGAAGAAGAGAAGCGAAAGTTATTAAAGAGAAGCAGTGAGCTGAAGAGTGAGCATAGACAGCTAGAAGAAAAAGATCGACTTCTCAACAATGCAGTGAAGGTAGGACACCTGACTGGGGACACAGAGTCTCCTGCAGAGGTGCTTATAAAGAATTTATGCTTGAAAACCTGATATTTTGTGGCTAGAAAATGATTTATACTCCCAAGCTACAGATGTTCAAGTGTGAGTGTGTTTCTCTCCAAGGAAAACAACATGGATTCTCTTTATGCACAAAAGCAAGCTGCTTTGGCAGGCTGAGGAGGAGAAATCACCAGCGACTGAATTCCTGTTGCTCGCAACCCCCCCCCAACATAGCTGTGCCTGCCTTCCTTGTAGTGCCATACACAGCTCTCACCTGTCCAGTGACTTTAAGGCACTTCCATTCTCCAGGTGAAAAGTTTAGTCACAAGCGTGTCCTCCAGTGGTAGCTGCTTGTCCATTAGCTCAAAACTCTTGAGATTAGGTAGAAATAACCATCTTTAGTTGTCTTAGAGGCTGAATGTTGTAACCTCCTCATGACTGGAAACGGATTCGCAATCCTTTTCTCCGTGAACTCATTTCAAAGTTAAATGTTGGCTGGAGGTGTCTCCCACACATACTGTGCTATGAGGACGAGTCTCTGGCAGTAATGAGTGGGCTGAGTTCAAAGCCGTAATTCCTGTCCTTCGTGGGTGAAGGAACTTATTTAGGGCTACCTCACCTCAGGCCCACTCTTACGGGGTAGCTGGCATGGCAGTCTCAATAAATATTTGAAACTTCCTTACCCTGGAAAAATCAAAGTGGCAGCTACAGGAGTAACTGGTCACTAGTTGTTTTACCACTACAGTTATCCAGAGGAGGCATGTTAAAATATTTATCACATTTAAAATAGAGTGGAAGGAAAAGGAATAACTTATTAAAAGACATCACAGTGGGGAATATTCCCTGTAAGTGTGTATAGCCACCATCAGCACTAATGGAAACACAAATATGTATGAAGAAGTGACTCTGGGGTACAGAATATCTTCAGTCGGTAGGAGAGTGCAGTGGGATGAGGTGTTCAGAAAAAGAAAAGCCTTTGGGGGTGCAGTCAGCTATCAGGTGTATGTCAGAGCTGTCAAAATCAGTAATATTTCTACCTAAGCAGAATCAGGTTCTTTCAGTGGGCAACACTGTCTTATTTAAATGGTAATATCAGCTGATGATTATATTTGTTGGAGATATATCCACTTGAAAGGAGGATAGCAATTAAGGGTATTCCAGCACAGAGCAATTTCATTTCTGACATTTGCCTTAACAAAGATTTACATTAAAGAGAAAACTTTCATACACACTACAGGGGGAATGCTATTATTTGGAAAAACAGAATGTGATTTACCCTTCATCTGAGATTTCGCCTGTCTAAACCAACCTCTGCCCGGCTCCACACAGTTGCTTTTCAGACAACTTGACTTTCAAGTGAGCGTTTCCCCCTTCCCAGGACTGGAGACTACCCCCCTACCCCGGGTAGTCTAGACCGTAGCCAAAGAAGAGCAATCTGCAGACAAGTAACCAGTTTTGCCAGACCCCTGGGCCCACTGTGAGAAAGGAAACAGGAGGTTTCAGATACTAGAGAGGACACCATCCCTTTCCGTCTAGCAGGCAGGCTCAGGGTTTTGGTCTGTCGCATAGTCCCTCTCAGACCCGTTGATAGTGTAAAGGATGGGATGTTAGCTGCAGCGGTACAGGGTTGGGGAGGGAAAGGAGAATTACCGATTCTTCCTTATCTCTTCTTGGAGAAGAGGAGGTATTTAAAAGAGGTGTAGATGTGGCACTTAGGGACATGGTTTACTGGTGGACTTGGCAGTATTAATTTTACGGTTGGACTCGATGATCTTAAAGGTCTTTTCCAACCTCAATGATTCTGTGATTCTAAGAAGGAGATTTGGGATGCCTTCATTTGGCTCCTGCTGCCACGGTCATTTTCATGTAGGTTTGTATGAAACATTTCGAGTGATTGTGGGGTGCAGTTTGGCCACCCCATAGGAAAAATACTTTCTTGTGACTGCAGTGGTATAACAGTAGTGTCCTAGATCAAGTTTTCTGCCAGAAAGATATTGACATCATGTTCAGAGAGATCAACTTATCTTCACAGTACTAACTCCCTAAAATTGGTGGCACGTACAAAATGCATCATGGTGAGGTTTATTCCTCAAGCATTTATCAGTGCCGTTTGGTAAGATTTAGAGACCTCACTGGTGGCTTCGGTACTTTCTAACACAGCTAATACAGCTATTACAATCCCGTGCCAGTAATCTCTTTGGAGCGCAGAAGGCATTTCTGCCAGGCTGTCTACAGGATGAGGTCGGAAACGTCCTCTGAATGCATTTGGATTGTTACCTTAGACAGCTGCTGCAGTGTATGCGGCACTGGTGATTACTCCATTCGTTAAGCTGTGGTTTTGCTATCCCCAAAGGAGAATATACTTCATTTGAGCAGGACGTGCACTCAAGACACAAAAGGATGTTTGGAGAGATATTTGACACCAATTTGAATGTATTCTCAGTCTTTCCTTCTCTCTCCCCTTCTCTTTATTTGACAGAAATGCTTAGAGCTAAAAACCAGCCTGTTGGCCCAGCAGAAAGGGACTCAGTCATCACTGGAACGTCTCAAAACCCTCATTAGACTGATACAAAACGAGCAGATGATTCAGGTTACCATGACGACCACCACCACCTCCTCCCTGCTAACTGTCCCCTGGATCAAACCCTCCTCTGCCTCCGCTGCCATGCACAAAGCCTTGCAGCAATCACAGGGTAACAACTGACAGAGCCGGCTGCGAGAGAGCGAAGGAAGGGGGGGAAAAAAACTTTATACACATGCGCAGAGGAGAGATTAAACTGAAACAAAGGAGAGAAGGAACAATCTCAGTTTTGATACGCGTAGAAACTTGCAAACCAATCTGTCCAGTTTGTAGGTCACTGTGGCAGCAGGTTCCCACGGAGCGGGTCGTGCTGCGGTTTTGTATTTGCCGAGACCTTCAGTGCTTATGAGATTTTTTTTGTTATGTTGGCCTTAATGTATTTATGACTAAGGATGACAAGGAAAAGTACGGCCGATAGGAAGCGGGATATGCTTTTGTGGGGGCAGACAGGTTTCCAGTTCTGCTTTAAGGGGAAAATTTTCAATGCAAAGAGTTAGTGAGCTAGTAGAGAAGTAGTTGGGCTGAAAGCTATTTGTGGGAGGGAAATTGCTGAGATATAACCAGAAACTGAACTACTTAGGACTCAACATGGATTCTTATCAGAGGAACAAAGTTGGCCCCGTTGATTCAGGTGACCTGGAGATGGGGCTGTTTTGACCAGAACGGCGTCACGGACACTCACAGAGCCTTCGAAACAAAAGATCATTTTTTTTCAGTATTATTAGAGTTGAGAATTGCAGATATTTAAATAAAGAAACTGTATGAAGTTAGCGTTTCTAGTAAAATATTGAAGTATTTTCATGCTGATGCTTCTGTATATGCGTTCCGAAGTATTTAAAAAAGTATGACTGTAAAACTCCTTACTTTTTTGCAGGTCCTTTTTACTTATTTTGCTATCGTGTATTTTTCTCATGGAGTTTTTGTGCAAGATTTAGCATAAACCATAATAGTGGCTATCTTTGGCAGGTTGGGTTTCGTTTTTTAGAGAGATTATTTTGGGGGTTTTCTTTTTTGTTAATTTTGGATTTTTTTTAAAGAAAAAAAGCAAATAAATATTCTGTTTTTTGTTTCTTGCCAGTACAGATAATATGCCAAAAAAATAACTTTACATTTTTGTACTGCATTTTTATTGTTAAAAATATGTAACGTGATTTTATTGTTATTATTATTGTTTTTATTTTTATTTTTTGCTTGCAGAAATATCTGCTGAAATGGTACAGGAAAAAAACCACCTGCCTCAAGGGGTTGTTTCTCATACTGGATAATATCAAGAGTTCTGGGGGAGGGACAGGCAATGGAAAATTTTAAGGGTTTGTTGGTTTATTTTTGGAAACTTGATTCCTTTTTAAGATTTTGTTGGATTTTAGCACATTTGGGAAGTGTTTAGCGTTAGCCTGAGAAAACCCCAGTGCGCCTGCTTGTTTCGCTAGCTAGTCTTCCTGATACTGCAAGAGTAACTGGATAATATCAAGAGTTCTGGGGGAGGGACAGGCAATGGAAAATTTTAAGGGTTTGTTGGTTTATTTTTGGAAACTTGATTCCTTTTTAAGATTTTGTTGGATTTTAGCACATTTGGGAAGTGTTTAGCGTTAGCCTGAGAAAACCCCAGTGCGCCTGCTTGTTTCGCTAGCTAGTCTTCCTGATACTGCAAGGGTCCGTCTGGCCCCCCGTAGGCCACAGGCCCCCCTGTCACCCTGCGGCCTGCCCGGGAAGGTAGTGATGGGCACCCCGGTTTTTCTCAACGTCACACACACACACACCAGACGCCATCGTCTCTGTCGTTTATGAGTTCTCCGTTAATTAGCACAACAGGTACTTAAGGAAAGCAAGAAGCCGCCAGAGCACGACACAAGGCTAGTCTCTCACATCAGCGTATCACATGGTGCCGAATATCTTTTTTTTTTTTTTTAAATAAAATAACCCATGAGGGACTGGCTTTTTCCATCGCCCATCACTAGGCAGCACATGGTCCCTTCAAGCATTTTCACAACTCCGGGAGAAACTGTGCAGTACTATACAAATCTATTTTAATACACAACACTCGGTTGAACAAGATTTTTATATTCTTTTATTGATGAACAAAGTGAACTAAGTAAAACACAATTGTTATACATTGGTTATTGTATGCCAATTATGCATTCTAACGTGGCTTGCAATGTAAATGTTTTCAGATTTAATGATTTTTTTTCCTTCTCAGACAAATAAAAAAAAAGGAAAAGCGTGGAAGGTTGAATATGTGAAGAATTTCTGAAGAAGTGTCTTGGACTGTTAAAAGTAGTTATTTTGAAAAGGGAACTGTCCAGTGGATAGTGTGCATAGAAAAAAAAAAGTGTTTGTCTTAAATATGCCAATGTAGTTTTACTTCTTATGATGCATTAAACTTGATTGACAATTTAATGGCGTTGGCGTTGTCGTGATACCCGCTGCTGAGGGGATGCAGCGTGGCCTGCCCGGGGCCCACTGCTGTGACCCCTTCCCAGGACAGACTCCGGCTGAGGGGTGGAAGTGACCGGTGCTGATTTCTCCACTGCTGTCTTCAATTTTCAGATTTAAACGATGCCAGAATGACTACAATACTTTCTGCTTTCCTTCTTCCAGGAAGATGGCCTCTTCCCTGAGGCCATCACATCTCCCAGGCAGGGATATCTTGTCCACTCCCTTTCTTGGCTTCCCGCCTCTTGGAATAATTTCCCATCCCGCTCTTCCCCAGATCTGTACGCAGAGATGTTGGCGGTACCGCCGATCTCTCCCTTTTCCTCTTGCATCTCTCATGGGTTGCGTTTTTTAAAGTGTTCACCAGGATTTAAACACTGCAGTGGCCTTGGCCCAAATGGAGATGAATTGAGTCAGCTCGGGAGCAAGCCTAGGGTTCTGAGGTGGAAAAAAGGTTACCCCAGGGTAACCCCAGGTTACCACAAGCTGTCTGCGCATGCTTCTTACATCCTTTGGGCACATTGCAGGCAGCGTGGGCTTTCCTTACGGTGGGTTACTGGAGAGAGACCTGCTGTAGACCGAGGACACACAGTTGGCTGCAGCAGATCTGCCGGCAGACCCACATTTTCAGGTGCCCTTCAAACGTGTGGTGGGCCCATTTTATTAAGTTGTTTATAACTCACTGTATAAGTCTAGTAATTAAAGAATGAGAGATAGGTCCCTCGCAGGAGTTGTCTGATTTCTGGCCAGTGGAAGGGACAGAACTTCCTAATAAAACAAACCGAATGAAAGCAAAACAATGTTACAGCTGCATAAAACCTACCACAGTGGCTAATGCTTATGGAGAGCAGAAGCAGGGTTGGGTTTTTTGTGCCAGGGGTAGGGAGAAAGGGTATTTTTTCGTTTGGTTGGCAGGGGGCAGGGGTTGCCGTGTCTTCACCTCCTGGCAGTGTCACTGTTTAATTTCGGGCTGCAGTTAGCAGGGGGAGCTCAGCACTGCGTCCTTGCTTCCCCTGCAGCTGGGCTGCCCCCTCCTCCCTCCTGGCCTCTGCTACGGGAAGGGCACCCTGATTTTTCCTAACATTGCTTCCAATTTTAGAAGACACCTCTCCCCCAAACCAGCAAACCCAGAAATCGTATGTAATCATCATCATCATCGTTCTGCCACCACCCTAACCTATAAACTCAGCACTGTGCTAACAGACAGGAGCCAATTACAGAGCTCTGCGTGTTGCCTTAATAATTAATGCAGTTGCAAGGAAGCGTAGGCTTATGCTGGCCTTTAATCTTCGATAGTAGTTTAAATTAAGGTTTTGGTGGAGATTTGTAGGAGCCACGGTAGCCTCCCGTGTTCCTTGCTGTGGCACCGGGCATTGCCTTTGAAAAGAATTGCGAGCTGCGGGGTTCCCAGCCTCCCCTCCCAAGCGAAAGTTATTTTTACAGCTATGCCAGACTTCACAGCTTCAGACCTCTTTATTTTAACATGACAGACTGTTTTCTGTGCATAGGACCTTTTCACATGCCATTAGTTATCTCGCAGAGGAGCTGCTCTGCAAATAGCCATTCGAATGAAACGTCTTGTCTCCAAGCCTGTCAGTTTTATATTTGCACCTCTTCAAATGTAATTTCGCCTACTCTTCCTTCTCTCACTGTCTCCCCTTCCTCAGAAATGAGAGGAAAGGGAACTCTTCTGTCTGTTGGGAAGTAACACGGGGCGATGCCAGCCCTTCCCAGCAAGCAGAATGAGGAACGCTGGCATGGCTTGTTTGTGTCAGGACCTCAGATGTTTTCGGGCTTCGTACTCTTTGAGGGAGAAGCCACAATGGATCCATTATGCCCTAAAGGCTCAAAAATCAGGAACCAAAGTCAAGACCCCTCACTTTTTTTTACGTTTAGTTCATGATCACTGGCAGTAATTTTTGCGCAATGGATTTAATGGTAGCGTCAGTCCAGCTAGCGGCTTCTCTTGTGGTAGACCTCTATGTAAGGATGACGGCTAATACAACAGCTGTATTAGGAGTTTATCCTACATGCCGATGTACCCATCGCATGCTGGTTTCCTAGCAGTTTGATGGCCTATTAGGAGCACTTAAACTTTTAGAAGAGTGCATTATAAACTGATGCGTACTTTTTGTTCTGTGTTCTGCAGGTCCTCTGTAGTTGAAAAGAGAGACATTACACTGAAATGAGTGGCAACAGCCACATCAGATAAAACTCCACTCACTTTAATCAGGTTTTGCCAACGGCAGCTTATTTTGCTTAGAAAATGAAACCTGGCTTCTGAGATCAATCACTAGCAACTGACTGGTGCAAACAGAAAAATGCCAGACTCCGCTTCTGTAAGCCACTTTTAAGTTCACCACGGTGAATATCATTAAAGCAAAAGGTTTTTTTTTCCTCCCTTAAAAAAGCAAACAAAAAATTAAATTGTCATGGTAGAAAAAATACTACAAAGCGTACACAGGCATATAGAGATTCTAGCCAGGGAGAAGAAAAAAAAAAGATGCCATTGCTCTTTGAAGTTGTTGTTTGCATTTGTACCGGCGGATGGCAGATGACTTCTGTGCTGTTTAAATGCAGCAGAAATGCTACACCCCAACCTTTGATTATCAGCCTCGCTCATTAAGCAGTTACCACAGAAATTTTAATTCACTTTTGCATTTAATCTTTGGGCTTGAGCTGCAGCATTA